GCTGAGGTCTTTGTGTAACCACATTTGGGAAAGGAGTTAAAAACTGCTCCCAGCAATACCCATTAGTATTTTGCCAAAGGGGTCAAGTCCATGGTCATAGCCGGACACAATAAAGAAGAACCATCTGGCTCATTGAACTGCAGAAGCAGCTACCACAATGCCTTTCCATTGTTTGGGGAGGTAAAAACAAAGATGAGAAGGGATAAGGAGGAAAGCTCTGTGTTTGTTGTGTCAAAGAGAAGATGAATTGAGCATGTTCTTCGACATCATTAATTTATTCATTCCAAAACAGATTTTACAAATAGTGAAGGAGTCTCCATAACATGCCAGACAGTCTTCCACCAATCATGGTCCACACAAATATGTATATGACAGTTCCTGCCCAGAGAACTTTCACATTGAGTTGGGGATATGAATACACACTGGAAGAAAAAATAGCTAAATGTACAAGAAAATGAATGCACCAACACGTGTTACAGACAACAAATGCCGTGAGAGTTGAGAGTTGGATGGGGTGGTGATCACAACTGAAAGTATTTAGAAAGAACTTCAGAGAAATAGCTGATAAAAAAGGCAAAATGTCAGTTTTGAGATGGGTTTGGAGAAATGTTCTAAAGAATTCATCTGGCAGTCAGAAATTTCTTAGAACTTAGAAATGGTTTTCCCCTAGAAATAACTTCATGAATTATGGTTAATATTTTGGCCAGTCTACCAAAGTTTACCTAGACCATAATGGAGCATGCAGTGACCTGGTCCCAAGCCCATCTGAAGCCTGAGCCTGAGTCTCACAGGCCTTGAGGCAGAGTACAAAATTAGGAGAGAGGAGATAAGGATGTGATCTGGGCTCCAAGAAAGGACAGGCCCTGCCACCTACACCCCTGCAGGGCTTCAGCAGTTCTCTCAGCAGTGATGGAGGTCACAAAACCCAGGACAGCAGTGGACACTCTCATCCAGGAGCCTTTGAGCAGTCAAGCATTTGAGCATTTGGAAGCCACGATAGTCTACGTTCATTATTAATGGGTCATTGAAAGTAATGATTGATTGAAACTAGGCAGACAATTTTTGTAAGGGAAGAAAACTAACATTTATTGAATACCTCTGTTGAGCCAGGTACTGTTAGCCACTTTCCATTTCTTACCAAAATAATTGAAACAGCTAACCTTTGAGGTAGAAAGCACTAATCCCATTTTACAGATGAGGACACTGAGGCTTGGGGAGGTAAACAATTGACCCACTGTCCCCTAGTGCTGGGAATTGGCTTTGGACCTTACTCTGACCGTTCCAGGGTCTCTGCCTGCACAACAGGCCGCCTCTTGGAGGTGCCAACAAAAGCCAGCAAGATGGAACTTTCTCTAATCATCAGACACTTCCTTTCTGAAATGAATGATTTAAATCCTTTCAGACCAGTGCCAGGAACAAATTCCAAAGAACTGACTTCCCCTGTGTCAGATCAATGGAGCTTTGTGTGGCTTTCTTCCGGGGGATGTTTCTAATGGGATCTTGAAAATTAATCCTCTGACAGGAGTGGTTGTTTTGTTGCTGCTTTGGGAGTTGTTTTGATGTTTGCTTTTCAATTTTGCTATGGCTTAATCAGTTTCCAAGAAAATTATTTAAAGAAAAGTCAGATAATGACATTAGTGGTACATAAGGAAGGGAATAGGATTAGACTATTTTTACTTGACCATGCCAGATGAAATATATATTCTACTGGCTGACATACATTTGAGCAGAGAGGCGAGAATTTCTGTTTCTGCTCTTTACCCACTAAGTTTTACAACAAGTTAAGGGAAAATAGAATATCAGTAATTACAAAGCCTTTAACAACCCAGGCCTGAGAGGAAGAATAAATAAATAATACTTAAAACTTCTTCTTTATTTCTACTTGTTAGAAGACAGAGGAAGAAAAATGACCACACTTGTCATTAGAGATGGGTTGAGCACTCCTGTTTAGTAAAAAACAAATCTATCCATATATAAAACGTTACCCTTTAATTTCAGATAATATAAGTAGCAGCTTAGGCTAATGTGAGAGCCTCCTGACCCAGAAACTGGTATGCATTGAACATGAAGTGGCAGACAAATCTTAGTGCTCTAATCTAGCTCATGACAGTTTTTAAAAAAAGAAACAGTCAAAAAACAGTCTCTGCTCTCTTTAGGAGTATTAAGAGTTCCAATTTCACCAGCGCCATTCATGGGGAAGCTTACAGGACCAAAGAGTCAAGTAATGCAGATGGGAATGGTGCACAGAAGAACAGGTCCGAGGGAGAGAAAGAGCTAACGTTCATTGGTACCAGCTGGTCTTACCTCATTTACTTTGTGAAGAAATGAGAGTTACTGTTTATCGAGCACCCAAGTCCTAGCACCATCCTAGGAGTTCTGTGTCCATTATCCCTTTTTTACTAATAAGGAAATGGAGGCAGAGAGATTTTAAGTTACTGCCACGAGATTCTATAGCTATGACTGGGTGTGTCTGGATTCAAGCCCAATTCTACCTGGAACTACCCACTTACCTATTCTCTCTCAAATAAAAGGTTGAGACCAACCCTTTTTCATTTTTTCAGCACCAATACTAAGCACATTGCCTGACACACGGAAACTGCTCCATAAAAAGCTGTTGTCACAACTGGCTCCTTTCAGAAGGCAAGCTTTTCCTTCATGCTGTTACACAGAATTCACTCTGGATCTCTGCTTTGCCTCCTTTGTATAATAACCTAACCAGATTTCATTACGTATTCAGTTTTGATGTTTATCTCACAACTGAATCCACTATAGTTTTTTTTCTTCCACATAATAAGTGAAAGGACTACCAAAAAAAAGAAAAAGAAAAAAAGAAAGAAAAATGAAGGGAAAAAAAAAATCAAGGACAGTAGACAGCAATGTAAGCCATATTTTACCAACATACTTACAGGAACAGCATTAGACAGAGAAGCCCAAAGCATTAAGAGCCCATAATTGGGACAGTTTTGTTCATTTGTTATCTTCTCTACGATATCCATCACGGCCTGAAATAATGTCTGTTCAAAAGAAATATTGTCAAACCGTAACTATGTGACAAAGATGAATGTTAATAAACAAAAGATCATGCATTTTCCTTTAAGACAAATATATTATTCCTGTCATTCCTGGGCTTTGCAGTTGAGGCATGCTAAGGGATTCACATACTTACAAGCAGCACGGTAATTAAGAGTACGGATTCTGGAGATCAACTGCCTTACTGCCTTGGTTCAAATCCTGGCTCAGATATTTAAGAGCTGGATGAACTTGAACAAGTTACTTTAATCTGTCTGTGCCTCAGTTTCCTCATCTTTAACATGGTCATAATACGGTGCCTACCTCATAGAATTGCTGTGACAAGTAAATTAGTTAGTACCTATAAAGTGCTTAAAACAAAACCTTTTAGAGGGCAGAATTCACTTTGCATCTCTGCCTTGCCAAAGTGTATTGGTAAATTGTTTTCATTTCTTTCTTTCTCCTCCCACTCCCATCCTCTTTTTAATAAACCTCTGCTCTTAGGAAAATGCAAGCAACACAGAGACACAGATCTCTGGAACATTCAGGAGAAACCCTACCCCCACACATCATGCAGATTCTCAGCCTATATACCATGAGAGAGAGAACTGCAGTATATTATAAATACTGCAATACTCTAAAACCATGCAGAGTATCGACATTTGACTTTAATGTGGCAGCTCAGCGGAGGGCCCATCCAGGGCCACCTACTATGATTACTCCCAGGTCACCATACAAATTCCATTAAGACATTTTCTTCATGGGGAGGTTTCCCTAGATTCGCCTTTGCCAATGGTTCGCTCCCTATCATGGAGAAGAAATTCAGACACTATAGCATTTTCATTAAGTTACTGGTGTACTTTTAATCTTAAACAACTTGGGTCTAGGTGATAAAAATAATGGGAGCCAATATCTATTCACTGCTTGCTAAGGGTAAGTGTTTGACAAGTATTTAAATCATTTCAATCCTCACTACAACTCCAAGAAGCAGATACTATTACCTTCATCACTACATATGAGGAAACGGAAGCACAAAGAATTAGGGAATTTTGCCAGGAACATACAACTTGAAGATGGTGAGCTGGGGTCCAATCCCATGAGCCTTGCCCTGGCTGCAGGGCCCACACTCTTATCCACTCTGTTATACTGCCCCATTGGAGACACAAACCTTAATTTTGACCTACTAGGAATTAAGAGAACTGCATTGTATCATAACGTAGTAGTTTTTGCTTCAGATCCTCTGACTCAGAAAATAACTTTTAAAACACTAGCATAGAAAACACATGATAAAATAGAGACTGTTGCTGTTACTTACTAAGGCATGTAATTTTTCAAGAGAGATTGACTACTATAATCCCCAGCTTTCTAGGTTTAATAATCCCCAGGTTTTTTTGGTATTAATGTTATTGTGAAAAAGAAATTAAGAAATTACTTTGTGAAATGTGTAAACTATGCCTGGCACAGGGTAAACACCTCATAAATGTTACCTGATGTCTCATTGTTATTGTTTTTGTAAAAAGAAATCAGCAGAATTGAAAATACTTTAGATATGAATTTCATTTACCGCTGGTCTCTATCATACTTACAATGCATGTGGTTATAGGACAAAGTTTACACGTCATGAAAATCCTACAGATGTATTTCATTATTTTGATATGCTGTGTTGTCGTGCAGTCATAATTTTAAATGAAAATATTAGTTTAATATATATCTATAATAACATGGAAGAAATCACCACATTTTACATTTATGATGTGATAAAATGTGTATATATTTTTAAAAAACGAGACAACTTTTACTCAGTCTTATGCTTCATTAGGCCATTGAAATCTACTTAGGCAGAAGACAACAAAATCTTTTTAATTTCTTTTAACCCACATGTTTTGAAAAAATGGGGTGTGAAAACATAAGCTCAGTGTAAACATTGCTACAAGAAAACAGAGAAGCGATACCCTAAAAACTGAAATTAAACTGCTCATGAATGTTCAGGCTGAATTCTCTCTCAAAGTCTTAAACATTGCATTGGCCTCAGCAAAGTTCAAACTCTGTCTTTACTCAAATAAGGAGTTAGAGTACCTATTATTTAAAATTCCTCATTTCTTCAAAGTAAGAAAAATAAATATTATTCTAGAGCTATTATCAGTAGGGAATTTTAGTCGGGGATTTAAAAACCCTGTTTACTAGGCTCATAGATTACATATCTGTCTGGGTATACATTTTATACACATATGCTCATGCCCCTAAATTCTGGAAAATAATGCAAAGAAAAAGGTGTGTTTGTCTGGGTTGTTTTTAAAACAGAAATGTTAGATGAAACATAGTTTGTCAATGAAGGGCATTCCAGGGTAGCTTTCTGTTCTCTTTATTCAGGAGAGAGATACCTAAACATTCACATATTCCTTTGTTCTAAGGCCATCTTTTTTTCTAGTTTCAAGCAGAGTTGTTTATGACACTCGCTGTCCAACTAAAAACAAATGAAAACTTTTGATGTCATCTTTAAATACTGAAAGAGTAAAAATGGTAACAATGATAAACTCTTATCTAGTCCTTACTATGTTCTAAATACTTCATAAAACTTACATCATTTAATCCCACAACTTTATGAGACAGGTGAGGAAACTGAGGCCAAGAGGTAGGTAGGTACTGTGCCCAAGGTCACACAACTGGTGATTGGCTTTGAGCCAAGGCAGTCCAGACCACATGAAACCCAGTCTCTGAGGGTGGTCTCAGGCATCAGATAGTTTTCAAAGCTCCTAGTGACGATTCTAATGGGCAGCCAGGTCTGAGACCCATTCATGAAGCCAGCATCAGAACCACCTGGAAGGCTGGTTGGACCACAGATTGCCGGGCTCTTGCCCAGAGTCTCCAATTGAGTAGCTCCCAGGTGAAGCTGGTGTTGTCGGTCTATGGATCACATTTGAACCACCATAGATCTAGAATAACATGCAGGGCACTGACTCCTAGTGCCTTGCTTTTAAAATTATACAATTCTACCTCCTTGCATTTGAAGAGACCAACAATAGTGGGAGTGGCATCAAGAATAAAGTCTACTTTGTAGAGCTTTATTTTCCATCCCTAATTTTCCATTACTCCCATTTGTCACTATTAACATTATTGATGATAATATATAAATCAGTAAAGAATATCAGAATTGTGTTTTATTTTTGGTGTTTATTTCGTCTCAGTTTTTTCCTTATGTAGAATAGGATTAATACTTACCTCAGTGTTGTGAGGATGTAATAATAAAATAATATATCTAAACATGTCTGGTACGGTGCTTGGCATAAAAATGGGATCTAATCAATCTTAATGGTTTTTAGCAAAAATATGTTTTAACAATCAGTTTATTACTATCTTCTTCCGATATATTTTAGCAACAAAAGGGAAAAAGTACTTACCAGGGAATTACCTTTTGCAGATTTGTATGTTTTTATATCTGGAATGTTTTTTTCAAACAGTGCTAGGAACCATTTTTTAGATTTTGACCAGTTTCTACATGAGAAAAAAATATATAAAAATTGATTTGAAAGCACTTTAGGAATAATAGGTCACAGCATAAAAGCAGGAAATGTCTGTGGAATTAGAATTACATATCCAAATTTCTTCTTCATTTTCAGGTAGAATGTCATGAATGGTCTACCATCAGAATCATTACTACACAAGGACAATCGAGGGGATGAAGTAAACACTTTTTAGTGTCTTTTGTAAATAAATGTTTGGATTCCTATTGGATTGACAATGAATAAAAGAACAGGCCCACGACTTGCTTGGTCTGCTTTTACTGTGGCTGTTGGAAATTGTGCGAGGATGAAAACCCAGTATGGCGACCAACTGCTGAGTTTAAACCAGGTAAACCAAACTGGCTATAATCTTTTTAATCTTTTCTTACCAGTTTCCATTGTAGACTGCCATGATCTGAATATTTGTGTCCCCCGCCCACCCAAATCCATATGTTAAAATCCTAACCCCCAATGTGATGGTATAAGGAAGTGGGGCCTTTGGGAGGTCATTAGGTCAAGAGGGTGGAGCCATCATGAATAGCATTAGTGTCTTATAAAAGGGGCCAAGGAAGCTTGTTTGTCCCTTCCCCCATGTGAGAACACAGTGCTAAGTTGGGAGTCTGCAACCTTGAAAGTGACCCTCACCAGAACCCAACTATGGTGGCCCCCTGATCTCAGACCTCCCAGCCTCCAGAACTGTGAGGAATAATTTTCTGTTGTTTATAAGCCATGCAGTCTACGATACTTCATTATAGCAGCCCAAATGGAGTAAGACATAGAGCAACTGCCAAGAAATTTAAAAATCATGCAGTTGTATTGCATGTGAACCACTTTGCAAACATTTGTCTCAGCCAACTGTGAGAAATACATCTGATCACACCCACTTCTGCCTCAGAGAGAATGAGGATAATAATGTCTGACTCTCAGACTGCTCACACTGGATGATTTAGCATGGATCCAAACTGTAGCACTGTAGTAATGAATGTGATAATAATAAGCTGTAAATGGAATAAAAGGCCACAAAATAAATTCTTAATCCCATCTCTCTCTCTATTTTTGCTCATCAAAATAAGAAAAAGGAAGAAGTGTATCTCTCTTCTTTAGTTCTACCCTCAATTCACACACAGACACCCAAAGGAAAAAAAATAGATCATAAGAACAACTTCTCACCTACTTAAATTGCTGTTATCATACATACTTAGAGCAGAGAAATCACAGAATGTATGAATTTCTAAGAGGAACTTAGTCAACGAATTAATTATACAACTCTCTACCTTAGGAGATATTCTGGCATCTGGGACCCATACTCAAAACCTTCATCAAAAGCTTGAAAATGCTGATGGAACTCTTGGATTTTCCTCTCGTTTGTAGGAAACAAACCTTTATTAAAAAGCACATTCACTGTTACTGGATAAAGGAGATGCCTACAAAAACAGAAACACATGGAAAGTCAGACCCAAAGACCAAAGAAGAAAGGCACAGGATACAAAAGAGGGCATTATTTAATAGTGCTATTAAGATATTAGGGGTAGATAATATGTGACAGATTCTCTTGGGAAAAAGTCACTGTTAAGTTTTAATATTTGCTTACTGTGGTCTAGATAATTCAAGGAAAACTGAAATTATGGTCTTATTTATCTGAAGATTTTTAAATGCTTTCTAAGCAAGCATATTAGACCCTGACAAATATGATAAACAGAAATAAATTGAATCAATATAATTCAACAAGAATTTACTTAGCAAATAATAACAATAGCTAAGATATAGTCCATGCCTTTAGACAGCAGCACAAAAAGTAACCAAAGAATCAAGGGCAATATTAGTCACCAAGTTTCCTAATTTCTCACAGGATTCCATAAATTCAAGCTATTGCATATGGAAATATAGCGTTTATCACCAATAAGTTTTACTGTAAGTGAATAAAATGATTACTGTGGTATCTATAAGAAAAAGAATATCAAAGATTATCAACACGCCCTCAGTTAGCAACACTAAATATTGTTTATTTAATTTTTATTTACCATCCCTTCAGAATCTCCTTCCCCCAAGTTTCAAAAATATCTAAGAATTTGCTTTGTTTGTTGTGGAGATTGGGCATGCTTTAGCAAATTTTTAAATTTGGTTGTTTCTTCTCCCCACCCTGCACCTCCTCCAGTTTCTGGACCTTTAATAAAATGTTAAATGTTATTATTCTGTTTTCTAAGTCAGAACTATTGAACAGGATTCCACTGAGATGGAAGAATGCCTGGGGTAACTTTAATTTACCAAATTTCCTTACACATGTGGAAATTTTTTCTCATGGCTCCTTTGCCCAGCCCTTAACTTTTCCAGAAAGTTTCACAACGTGGCTGACTCTCTCTGCTCTTTCCCGTCTTCCCTGTCTCTTTGGAGGATCCTGGGGCTCAGTTCTGAGGCCCATATTGAAATTGCCTTTGCCCCTTTTTAAATTTCACAATTACCTCCTGGACCCTTGTCATCCACTTTAGGATTCCATTCTCTCCCCTATCCTGTCAATGTCCTCTTGTTCTAATAATCACCAATTGCATTGAATGTTTTATCAAAATTCTGATGGATGCATGACAATTATAAGAGGTAAATCCATGTAGAGTATGCACAATTGTATGGAATTACTAAAGAGAAATTACTGTAAATGTATTATAATGATTGAACTGGCTTATTTGCTAATCATAAAATAGAAATGCTAAACTGAAAATTGCCCATTAATTAGAATTTGAAAGATTAAAATAATCTCTTTAAAGCCTAGTTAGGCAGATTTCGTTACTCCACCAGATAATTTCTAAAGTCTAATATAAAGGTTTAAAATCTCTTTATTCCAAAAGGGCAAGATTAAATCATACTATGCAACTATTTATCTATTTACCTTACTAAGTTGTTCAGGTCCATCGTCCCATGAGTGCCTAAATTCTCCAGTTGTTCATGTAATTCTTCCGTCACTTGCCCAGGGAATTGATAGAGATTGACAGTCCCCATTTTCCCTTTCACTATAACATTGAGTTTTTCATGCAGTGTTAAAAAGGTATTCTTTGGAATTGATGCTATAAACAAAGAAAATTATTTTCAAAATAAGCAACAACTCCTTGAAGCATACAGTCAATATACCTCTACTACTATTTGGTCACTAAGGACTAGAGCCAAAGTCTTCCAAGCACATAAAATCACCTCCTGTGAATAAAAGTAGATAAAGATTCAAAGTCTACCATGAGATAGTAAAAGTCTAAGGGGTAATTCACTTTAAGGGATGATCTATAACGGTTGATTAAGAGGGCTAGTGTTTCCAGCCCTTCCCCTTCTAAATCCAGGTATATTGAAAACATATTGTATTTTACATATCCCTGCATTTTCAGAAGCTGTTCTGTCTGCTCAGAACATTCTCTACTTTATCACCCCATCTCTACCCCCACCCCCACTCCCACACCCCCACACCTATAAGCTACTAATTTCTATTTACCGTTAAGTGTCTTCTTGCATATTACTTCTCCCAGGAGGCCTTTCCTAACCCCAGGAACAGTTTTGACCCCCCCATTTCCTTTATACTAGTATTCATGCTCCTTCCATGATATAGACTCCTGGTTAGGCTGTGGTGGCGAGATTATGAGTGAGGTATTTTTGGTTGTTTCTTTTTTTAGCTTATTTCTTTAATTTTTCTTTTATCTTTATTATCTTTCAAGTAACTTTTTCAAAAAATAATTTTTGTAGTTTGTATTTCATCATCCTATTACGTGTAAGTTACATTTTAAGTTAATTAAAAGTAATTTTTACATTTCCTGAGCATACATCTTCTCTATGATGGGGGAATAGATGGGAAGAATTGGGAAGTGGTTCAATAGTAAATGTTAACATATTTCATCTGTTAAATAGAAATATTTACACACAAAAGTCCCCAGGGGAGGTAGAGGTGAAATAACTTATTTCCATATACTTCTGATAGGTAGGTTGGTGTATTTTTTTCTGAAGGGATATGTGACTATACAGATCAAAAGCATTCAAAATATTTGTATTATTTGATTTGGAACCATAGTCCAAATATAAAGAAGCACTAAATAGTCAAAGAATTTAACCAACATGTGATTTTCTCAGAAGAAAAAAAATCATGCTATTGATCACCGCTAGCTTTTAAAACAAACTTTTTTGTCTTAATAGCAAGAAATGCACAAGAGGTTACATGAAAGGAACCAAAGAAGAAAGAAAGAAAGCAGAGAAAAGAAGCTATAGGGAATAGAAGCAAGTGCAAATATTATGGAAGCAGAGAAAAGAACCAAGCACAAAATGAACCAGTTCTGCATTCTCACAAGGACAAATGGCACCAGCACACACATTTGCATCCCAGGAAGAAATGAAGACAGACAACCACACAGGGAACATGCTAACCAGTACAATCTTGCAGTCTTTGAGGATGGAGAATTTGTGCAAGGGCAAACCAAGCCCCCTGCTTACCTTAACAGCCCTGTGGGATATGTCAGGAAATGCCATAGTAAAGGGCTTACTAAGCAGTGGAATTTTACTTTCAGGGAGCAGAGTAACAACATGTAATCAGGCCAAGAGCTGTAGCCTGTGGAACACTGTATACACACCAGCTAAACAGAGTTAGCCATATCTTGGGAGCTACAGCATGATACAGATTCCACACTTTCTAAAGAAAACATCAGTGAGGTAACCTTATCTCTTTCCTACGTGTAATAAAAATCTAAATGTATTAGGCTGCCAATAATTTGCTTTCCAATGACCAAACTCATCATATATTCTTTTTCCCTTCTAGCCTTCCCTCAAGAATAAAACAATGGACCCCCATCCTTCTGGATAGAGGAGAGAGTATATAATTTTTACGTAAAACTACCCTTGGATTCCAATGTTGTATTTCAAATGAGCTATCTTAAAATATCCTTTACCTGTACGATAGACAGTATTTTCCACTGCTAGTTCGAAATTTACACTTTTGGATTTTAGAAATACATTAATTCCCTCTTCTTCAGTAACAAAGGTCATTCTGTTTCCCATAGCAAAGACTGTAAATATTGGTCCATACTAAAATAAAACACATAAACACAGATCATGTTAGTAAGCATTTCTAAGCCATGGGTAATATTAAGACAGTTTTCCTCAAGAACCCCAACGCTGAAGTTATAGTCAAGAGAAAAATGATTATATTTGGTAATTCATTATTAATTTTGACTGTTTCACTCAAATCTAAATTACATAAATCTTAATTTGTTCTGTCCTAATATATAATGTTCTTTTTGATCATGTTATTTATTTGTACCTTACTTTCTTACAGTATGAAATAATTAGAAAATAATAATTATAAAAAACAATCAGAAAGTACATCAACATTGTGATATTTGAATATTGTTTTTAAGATACCAGTAGGCTTATAAGCAACCTATAGCTCAATATTGCTCAAGAAAAAGATACAAAGTTGCCAGCTGGCTTTATAGGAAATTCATAGTCACTCAAAAATGTCTTGCAATCCTATATACTTTTCTAATACAGTCACTTTCTTTCCAAAATGACTATTTCACCTGAACACCTTGCCCACCCCTTTCCTCTCTGAAATAGTGTCCCTGCCTTGCAACTCACTGGAAAAATGGAGGCAATCAAGTAAGAGCAGCCTCATCTCACCACCAAATCTTGCAAGGTACGCATGTGAACCCTTCTCCGTCCTTCCCTCCTGTTAACACGGATGGAAGTTCCTGCCCCTGTGAAATGCCCACACCCCTTCCCTTGTGTCATATTAATAGATCCTATGCTCTCTTGCCTTCTCGTTGTTCTACACTTGTGCTTTCTCTCTCTTACATCATTAATTTCCCCTCTCTATCAGATCACTCTTAGCAGCCTACAAACATAGTTTAGCACAAGGTTTGATTGCAGGGGGTCCATGACCTTGTTGGGGGAAAATGTGTCATCATTTTCATTGACCTTTAACTATAATTTAGCATTTTCTTCAATTGGGAACATAGGCAACAAACCACAATCTTACCCATGAGTCTATCATCAAAACAAACTAACAGAGTTTCATATCTCATTACAGTTATTATAAATATCTCAAAACATCATTTAGACTCATCACTACTTCAGTATCTATCAGTCATCTCTATTCTCCCCAGAAGAGGGCACACACTGTTGACTACTACCAGGTAACTATAGGCCCAAGAGTCATGGAATGCTCAAAAGTAAAGTCCCATTTTCTCATAGTAGTGATCCAGACACTTACACTGCTTCCCAATACTCCCTTTCTACAATTGTTATCAACACTTAGAAGATGAATCATTTTTATTGTTTTTTAAAGTTTTGTTCAAATGAAAATTCTTAATTTTCCATTAGGAAGATGGCCTTTTGCAATATCTATATGCACCCTGGCCACAAGTATACACCAACAAGTTCAAGCATATTGAATAGTCGAGATAACTGCTGACATGTGGCAATACAACTGGACAGTGAAAAATGGTCATGCATAGTGTTATAAATTCTGCTAACAGTGGGGTTTTTTTTGTTTATTTACTTTCCTTTTGTTCTTTCTTTTTGTGCAATGTCAGCAGCCACAGTGTCATGAAGGCAAGCACATACAGTATGTTGTAGAAGTGATGCTTGTGTATTTTTCAATGAAGTTTTTTATTTTGAGATAATTGTAGATTAGCATGCAATCATAAGAAATATTACGGAGACATCCTATGTACCCATTACTGTTTTCCCCAGTATTAACATCCTGCAGAACCATAGTACAATATCACAAACAGACTATTGAGATCGATACAGTTAAGATGCAGAATATTTCCATCACCACAATGACCCTTCACATGTCTCCAGAAGGTTGTGGGAGACAAAGGATTATTTCTTTAGGAAATATAATTTTTCATCTATCAGACTAGCAAAAGTTATAAAGAATTATGACATCCAGTGTGGCCCAGGATATGAAAAGCTAGGCAATTCCATGCACTTGAAGTAAAATAAAAAGTGTATATTGTTACATCCCTTTCCAAGGGTAACACATTAATATAAACAATTTAAGTGTTCAAGTCCTTTAACTTGGCAATTCTACTCTAGTAATTTATCCTGAGGAAACAATCAGATAATTGCAAAATATACAACCGCACAATACATACATGCATGCGTGCGCACACCCATGCAGGAATGCTCATTAAAGCATTGGTTGAAATAAAGAAAAAAAGTTGGCAGCCACCTATATACACAATTCATGAGATTTAAGTAAACTATTATATCCTCATATGATAATATGTAGTCATTAAAAAGAAGATTCAGAAATATATTTAAGAACATGGGAAAATTATTCACATGTTAAATTCAAAAGCACATAAAATATCATTACAATATTAGCTTGTTGTTTATTGAATAGTATGTAAATGTACAGAAAAAAGGCCAAAATAATATAAATACACTAAATCTTTACAGTATTTATTTCTGGTGCGATATTCTAGGTTATTTTTATATTCATCTTCATTCTCTTCAATATTCTCTTAAGTTTTTTACTAAATTGGAATCTCAGTGATTCTGAAGGTAAATGATCAGTGGTATATATAATGCTACTTTGTACAAAATTATTCTACAAATGGGGCTAACTAGATAGGAACCTATGTGAAGAATGAGTCACCACAGAAAGTATTATTAATATAATATATAATGGTGATTAATATCATATGAATTTATTAGACAATCAAATACCATAAAATCTTGGTGGTGGGAAATTGAATAAAAATTAAAAGGCTAACACAGGTTTGTTCCCTAAAGTGCTCAGACATTTGAAAGGTACTTTAAGAACAAAAACATCTACTACAAGGATTACTAATCTTCTTGGAGTGCAGTAAAAATGGAGCTCATCATTATCAAATAACAAAACCAGCTGAAAATACAGTGCCTGTTAAATTGATAAAGATCAAATTTGCAAGCAATTTTTACAATATCCTGGTGTTAATTCCAACTTGGATACGAATTTATTACTCACTTTCACAAATTTAAGTTGTATTACACTTCTGTCTTTCCCAATTACTGCAAGCATTTACTTAATATGTATACACTTAAAATTTAACTTCGGTGAAGTAACTAGCACTTAAAAGTTAGTCTCCACTTCCAAAAAGGCAGGTGCAAGCTGTGTTATATTTCATATCTTCGGCAAAATTTCGCATAAGTCATAGCTGTTGATTGTTAGTAGAGGAGTTAATAAATAACTAGATCGTTTAGGTCCGGATAGCAGGCATGTCCCCCCTATTCCAACAATGCACTTGAAATCTAAAGAAAGAAAACAAACAAACAAAAAAACACATTATCTCCTTTGGAAACCCCGTCTGCCACGGCCACATACCTTGATTCTTGCTTTCTCTATAAATTCTAGAGGGGCTTTTCCAAACTCAAATCCAGCTCCAACCCAAGGAATCCAGCCTTTGATGCACGGAGGTCTACGAAAATTCTTCCACCGAAGGAATAAGAACAGAGAAACGCAACCTAGGATTGCAATCACTGTTGAGGAAATTAGTTCCATATTTTTGTCTAGCACCTTCCCAAATCGGAGAAGTTTTAAAAAGTCCTGCTGCTGCCTTGGCACTGGCTCCTTTCCTGGGTCTAGGGAACCCGCCCAGCCTCCCAAACTTTCTGCTGCAACTTGTGCAACTAGCTCTTCTTCCAAACCGTAGCTTCCTTTCCCCGCCCCAGTTTTTTGGTGATTTTTGCATCATTGCTCCCTCCCACCTCCACTTCCAAGAGTCCTGGACGCGGCGGAAAAAATACAGGGCTGCGCCTCGCTGGGTCGATGGGAGGGAACACGCGCTGTTGCCATGGAGACTGGCGGAGGCGCTGCGAGCGGCCAGCTGCCAGCCAATCAGAGAAGTCGCTGAGCCCGGCGGACTACATTTCCCAGAAGCCTAGTGGGTTCTGCTTTGTTTTCCTGCTTGGGGCGGGTTTCAGGGGGCCGCTGGACCACTACAGCCTGAGACTACTAGGAAGGCTGTGGGTTTCCCGGGCCGAGCCGAGCGGGGGAAATGTTTCGCGCCCGGCCACTTGCGGGTTGAACAGGGGCCGCCCTGGCAGGGTGGCGGCCAGCTGCGGCGCGGTGTACCGGCGAGGAGGGGTGCGTTGTCGTCCTGTCCTGCTGCTGAATGTCCGTCCCGGAGGATGATGAGAGGCTTTTGCCGCTCGCCCAGAGATGGCCCCGAGCGAGCAAGTTCCTACTGTCTGGCTGCGCGGCTACCGTGGCCGAGCTAGGTACCCGGCTGCCCACGCCTGGGCCTCCCGGGCAAGTTGCCGTGGCGCTGCGCTGGGGGAGGGACGCGCGGGCGGCTCGGTTCCAGGCTGTGCGCATCCCGAGAGGTTGCGCCCTCTTCTTCCACGCCTGCCTAGCGGATGCTGCAGGGTTGGGGAAGGCCAGTTTTGAGAGGAGACGGGATTGGAGGTCTCTAAGGTGTTTTCCTTCTAATTTCGTCTGATACCTCCCTCAGGGATGTGCTATTGTTCTTGAATGTGTACTTTTAGAAGCTTCATGAGCTGTCGTTCCTATATAGGTATCATTTTCCCTTTCGTGAGAATGACCTTTTTAAAAACACAATCCATTTTTCATCCTTATTCATCTCTGTGATTTATATTCTTACACAACCTCAGTGTGTCGTTGTCTTTTGAGTCTAAGTTGTGGACCTACCTTGTAGGACCTATCACTTACTGAGCATTCTATTCAAACATCCGCCCGTTGCTCGACCTCTTTAAGCTTAACTCGTCTATACTGTGTTTACCTTGAAGAATTCTGAGAAGTCAGTAATATATAAGTGCTAAACTCAAGGCAGGACACCCATTAATTGAGACATTATTATAATTACCACAATAGTAGAGACTGGGGATACATAGTTGAAAAGACTCAGTTCTGACCTTCTTACAGGCTGATGGGGAGATATTCAGAGAAAGACAATTACAATGGGATACTTTATTATAACGAAGATATTATTAGGTGTCATAGAGTGTAGAAGAGGAACAGTTACATCCGCTTAAACGAGTCAGAGAAAACTTTCAGAGGTCACCTAGAGTGGAATCATGGTGCCCTTGAATGAGCAAGTGGTGTTTATTGCAAGAGTTTTGTGAGTAGAGTTCCTATGTGTTCCCTGTGAAGCCTTAACTGTGCATTTAGGATTACCCTTACATTTTCTTGCCTGTTTAAAACAAAGAATAAAAAAACGCAACGGCTCTGATGCCTTATCATTTGTAAATGTACATTTGTAAATGTACATCTGTAAATGTTAGTTGGTCCTATTCTAGATGAGTTTATTTTGTATCTCTGGCACGGCAAGCACGTGATCTGTTGTTTTCTACTCTTCCATTTTTGCCGTTTGGCCCCCCTATTTTTCTCTCTCTCTCCTTTCAAAGCTGATAGAGAATTTTTATTGTTTTTACTGTGATAAAATTCATCTACTTTTTAAAAAAAATCTAAAATCAGATTGCTGAATGATTAGATATATTTCCATTTTTTTTAATTGATGTGACTCATTGCCTTCTTTACAGGAATATTCCTCCTGTTAAAAATTCATGGAGAGAATTGTGTGGGGGATAGGGATGGGAGGCAGGGGAATCACAATATGGATGGTTTTGAGTACAAATCAATTTAGGAACCTGAAACATGATTTAAGTACCTGTAAGAAAACAAAAATTACTTTGAGAAACATAGTCTGTGCTAATATAGAGGTTCCTATTTCTTAAGACTTTTCAGATTTCATATATCAATAAAACATTGCTTAAAATTTCTATATGCAAGTTACTTCTGTTTTAGGGAAACTATCAGCAAGATATTAACTCTTCCAAAGATCAGTGGTAAGATTTAATATTCTCTTCCCTCCTGCCATTAACTCTGTTTTCTCTTAGAAAAGGCATACTAGGGTTTTATATCAGGTGGTGGTCATAGAAAAGTCTTACGTAATGTCATTAATGTTCATGAACTTGTCTGAATGTTGTTATTTCACCTATTTGGGACATTTTATATTATAAATTTATGAGCTTGAACTTCCATATGTGGGCCAATTAGCTTAACTGTTTTAAAATAAAAAGTCTATCTCTAATTCAAAATTTAAACAAAACATTTTTTTTTACAAATATATTTGGTACTTATAAGGAGGCCATGAGTAGGCCATGGATATAACTTATCAGAGGTGGAAAAGCAATTCAATATATGCCTTAATTGAAAGAATACTGATGTGTGACCCTTGTATATAAAAGATGACATTGTAAACTCCATTACATCTTCTGTATCTCATACATCAAGTCAGTAATTCATGTGCATGGGAACATTACCCATGAAATTATGGAATCCAGCTTCATCTGGCATTTATTGTGGTACATAAGAATATATGGTATTCTAAAGTTAGATCTTAAACAATCCTGGCTACAATCAAGGGGATGCCAGAGAATATGGATACTTTAAATTATTTTCCATTGGAAAGTGAAAATTAAGGACTAAAGTAGATTTTAAACTGAAATTTCTGAATAAAAAGAACCCAAGGCTTGTCACTTTTTAATTTTTTGCTGGTGATCGGGGGTGCTCTTGTGCAATGATTCTTAAATTTGGGAATGAGTGAGAATGAGCTAATTCTAAACCCTTATCAACCTATTGGATTAGAATCTACAGGCATGAGGCTAGGAAATCTGTAATTAAAAAAAAAAAAATCTCCCTAGCTGATTCTGATAAATTCTAAAATTTGAAAGCCACCGATCTGCGTAAAATATCGGTCCTATGATTTTAGGATTTTTATTTGTTTCTCTGAATGTTGTGGGTTTTTCCCTTCGTTTGTTTTTGTGTTAGCAACCTTTCCCCTCGATCTCACAAAAACTCGACTCCAAATGCAAGGAGAAGCTGCTCTTGCTCGTTTGGGAGACAGTGCAAGAGAATCTGCCCCCTATAGGGGCATGGTGCGCACAGCCCTAGGGATCATTCAAGAGGAAGGCTTTCTAAAGCTTTGGCAAGGAGTGACACCCGCCATTTACAGACACGTAGGTATTTATCTTGATTCTATCTGGTAAGTTTGTTATGAGTTCTGTGTTTGTCTCCTCTGCTTTTCCGTTTAACTGTGTCCAAAAAGCAGCTAGTTTTTTTCTCTACTGATATGATAAATGAACATTATAGTCTCTGAAGAAGAGAAAGATTACCAGTTGTCCTAAATTTTTAGAAATGCATACTGACGTATTTAGGGATGAACTGTCATATCTGTAAAGTATGTTAAAATTGAATGTTTATGGCAGCACAATTCACTATTGCAAGGATGTGGAAACAACCCAAGCGCCCGTCAATTCATGAGTGGATTATTAAAATTTGGTATATGTGTACAATGGAATATTACTCAATTATAAGAAACGACAGTAATCTAGCACCTCTTATATTTTCCTGGATTGAGCTTGAGCCCATTATCCGAAGTGAGGTATCACAAGATCAGAAGAATGGGCTCCACTTGTACTCACATCAAATTGGCACTAACTGATTAACACTATGGTGCTCAGATGGTAGCAATATTCTGCAGGTATTAGGGGGTTTGGGGGGTAAACTCACAACTAAAGGACACGGTGAGCATGGTAGAGGAAAAGAGTATGCTTCTAACCCTCGCTTGGGTGAGGCAAAGACATAAAATGTAACCAAAACGTTTGTACCCTCATAATACCCTGAAATAAAAATAATAATAATAATAGGCAAAAAAAAAATGAAGCAAATATGGCAAAAATCTTAGCAATAGATAAGTCTCAATGGTAGATTAGAGGGAGTTATATATTATTTTCTCTACTTTTCAATATGTTTGAAATTTTCCCTAATAAAAAGTTTCACAAAAGTTTTAGAAGAAAAAAATGAATAATATTTTTCTCTACTTCAAAAACTTTATACACAGGATTTAAATTTCTCATGTTTTTTTGAAAATTAAAATATATTTGCTACAACGCCCAATCTTGTGAATCTGTGTCCCAAACATCTGAGACCAGACTACTCTGAAAGAGAGCAGGAATCACTGCCTAATCCAACTCTGGCAATAGAGGAAAGGCAACATAGGTGATTTTTGCCCCAGTTCCCCAGCCTTCCTAACTTGCTATGTGGGTCTTTAGTCACTCTTAAAGGAAGATAGTAGTAACTATGCCGTGAGAAGACTTTTCTACTCCGTTTCCAAAGGGGCACTCACAACAATAGGAGTCATTGAGTTTTTAGTTTGTGTGGAGGAGAACATAAACTTCGCTTCAAAAGGAGGTAGGAAAGCTGTGACATTTTCTCCAATATATTTATAATATTTCCTTAAACATATAGTGACCCTTGATCAGAAAAATGCCTAGTTCTAATACATACTGACTTAATATTTTTAAAGATTAAGTTCCTCAGATGAGTAAATTAGAGTGTATTGTCAAGAACTATCCAGAATCGTGCACAGAGACTGTTACTGTTTTTGCATGTTGTCCATTTTTTTGAATATCTTAAATAGTTCATCTAATATCTTGAAATATTAAGAAAAGGTCTCTGTATGAATACTATATGCTGATTTTAATGATTTTGTCATCCATTCTTTTTTAATATTTTCTCCTTTGCGTCCCATTATTGTTTTGAGTTTTTCTTCTTTTCATTTGTATTTTGTTGACCACCTTATATTGTTTTACAGTTAAGATTCATGTTTGATACTTGACTGGAAAATATTACGTTAATATAATAAATTCTCCAACAAAATTATATGTTTATTCAATGAAAATGTCTGCTGTGCACCAAGGTATGTAATAGGGCATTTGAAGTAATAAAAACAAAACAAAAACAAAACACACAGAGAGCCTGCCTAGAGAAGCTCACAGTCTGATGGAAAGATGGGCAAGAAAAACAAGTTAATTTCTAATCAATATGATAAGGAAAATGCCAGAGAGCACTTTTTGAAAAACATATTCTTTGAGTTGAATCTTGAAAGACTGGGAGGAAGTAGGAAAGCAGAGAAGGGAGAATCCATTCTAGAAAGATCAGAGAGTGTGTCGAAAGGCCTGAGACTTAAAAGAGCATGCCCCACCTGGAGAAACATCAAGAAGCCCATGTGTCGGGATTACAGAGCTCGTGAGAGAAAGCCACAGCACGAGATTGACTAGGCCAGGTCAGAATGTTCTCTTATTTGATTAAACATATAGCTCAGTCTACCTTTTTAATGATTTTTTTTTTTTTTTTACCCAGTGTATTCTGGAGGTCGAATGGTCACTTATGAACATCTCCGAGAGGCTGTGTTTGGCAAAAGTGAAGATAAGCATTATCCCCTTTGGTAAGTTTTATTTTGAAAATAACATGTTATTGCCCCAAAGGCTTTAATGTTTATCCATTAGATTCATGTAAAATTATACATTTGTACCAAAATTGCCTTAAGTTACAGGCTTAAAATAATAAATAATTACAATATAAGCCCAAATAATTGATAATTTACCACACGTTGTATACAGATATATGAGTACGTACGTACATATACAGAGATGTGCTCAAATTTTTGTTCTACTACTGTGTAACTTGGGAAAACTGCTTTACCTTTTTATCTTCAGTTTTCTCTGTGTAGAGGTAATACCTACCATCAGCTGTTTATTTTTGTGGGATTAGATGAGATGATGAATGTAAGTGCATATTACTTATAATGTTTGTAACAGAAACAGAAAAAATACATTACTATAAATAATATACATAGAACTCCTTTAAATAAATAAAAAATAAGGAGAACACAATGAAAAATAAGGAAAGGATATCAATAGGCCATTTGCAAAAGAAGAAATATAAATGTTCATTAAACATGTAAAAATGTTCAACCTCACCAGTAATCAGGGGAATTAATTAAAACTGACTTTAAACTGTTTGTGGAAAAGTATATTATAGTCTTTTTGTAGCATAAATTACCTATTAAAAATTTTAAAGGTATAATCCTTTGACTCAGCTCCTTCTTTGTGATTATAATCATTCAGAAATACTTGTACCTGTGCATAAAGGCAGACACGCACACACACACACACACACACAAAGATATTGACTGTAGCAGTGTTGACAGTAGCAAATCTAAAAAAAAATAAATAACTATCAATTTGGAAGTAGTTGAGTAAGTTATATTTATACAAGGAAGCACAACACAGCTACTGAAAGAATGAGCTAGATTTTATATGACTAACATAGAAAAATGCCTAATATCTTTTCTGGGGTTAAAAAAAAAATCCAAATCACAACTATAAGAAAAGGGCAATAAATAGAATTTCACCTTCCAGGCAAAATCTTTTGGTCCTGTTTTTGAAAAATTATAATGTACTAAGATATATTAATTGCTTTCCCAGAAGTAATGATGGAATAGAATATTAATAGTCCTTGCATTTTCGAATTTCCTCCAGAAGGGAAAAGTCTAGGTAAAGAGTTCAAAGGAAATATTACACTATGAAATATACTCTCAGGGTGGGTTGGTTTGATGTCTTTTTGACCCAGTCAGAACCATTCAATCAGTCACTAAGTATTCATCAGATGATTAGATTATGGTGTGCCAGTTTTATACTTAATACTGAGGTTATAGTAATGCAAAAGACATAGTCCTGCCATCAACTTACAGAAACAGAGACAGATGAATAAACAATTAGAAGCCTGTAAAAAACACACAGGAGAGAGTGGTTATGAGATTTTCAAAGAGGAAAAAAATTCATAATGTACTCTGCTTATCATTGTGTGGAGTAACAGGCATTCTCATAGGTTGGTGGAAGTGCAAGTTGATACAAATTCTATAGAGGGCAATTTGGCAGGATCTAGCACATGTTATGTAAATGTTCAGATTTCTTAGTTTAAAGTTATGCTAGTTGAATAAATTATGGTATATCCATAAAATGAAATGCTATGAAAATATTAAAATGAATGAGATAGCTCTATATGATCTGACAGGGGTAACCTTTAAGATATACTGTTAGGAAAACAAAGTACAGAACACTGCACAACTTGACATTCTACATCTGTGCATTTAGAAAGGAATACTTACACAGATACGCTTGTGTTGCACAAACTATCAATCATAACTCAGTGCCTAATACTGTGGGCTCTGCATTCAGATTATCTGGATTTACATCTTGGCTGTAACAATCACTAGTTGTGTGATTTGGGCTGTCACTTAACTGCTCTGTGCCTTGGTTTCCTCATCTGTAAAGAGGGAATGACGGTACTAATGTCGTAGGGTTGATATGAGAATTAAATGTTATTTTTAAAATACTCAGAACAGTGCCTGACACATAATGAGCATTCAGTGAATCCATTATTATTACCTCTGGGAAGGCATAGAAGAAACTAGTAATTGTCATTGCTTCAGTAGAGGGGCTCTAGACATAGGGGTCAGAAGGACCCTTTTTTCTTTATACTCATTTGTATCTCTTCAAATTACTTTATAGTGAAGTGAAAGGAAATGCCTCTTTTCCCCAAGAGACTATTACAATAATCTGTTTGAAGGTGATTGGAGGTCTTCCTGAGACAAGGCCCACAGGAATGGAGAGAAGAAGATGGATTCAAAGCATGTTGAATCCTAGTCTTTCTCACCATTGGCTTTGAGAGGGCATAAGGATGAGTCTAGGAATGGAAAGAATTTCTTCAAAAAGAGAAATATTTTCAAACCCCCTTCTCTGGGAAGACTACTAAAGTAGTAGTTTTTAAAATCTCACTTCTCAGCCTTTGTCTGTTAGGCTGATTGCATCTATGCTGTTTTTTATTCCCCTGTGGTCAAAATTAAACTGCAGTTAAATTGTCAGTTCATATGTTTGTATCTTTTGAAGCAACTGCCCTTTCCTTTGAAATTCAGGCCATGTAAGGCCCATAACTCCAGATTTTAACTCCTTGTGGTCCATTAACCCTTCCATCAGTAAACAGCCAAACCTCTACTTTCCTCTGTGACTTATTTGAGTCTATACTTTTCTTCACTGTCTTACCTAGGGCCTGTACCAGCTCAGTATTGGTTCACTATAAAATTTATGAAATTAATGGCAACTTTTTAAAAAAACATTTTCTTTTACAATTAGGAAATCAGTCATTGGAGGGATGATGGCTGGTGTTATTGGCCAATTTTTAGCCAACCCAACTGACCTAGTGAAGGTTCAGATGCAAATGGAAGGAAAAAGGAAACTTGAAGGAAAACCACTGCGGTAAGTTCTCCAATTAACTGAGCTTTCCTTTTCCCTTTCCCACCATCATATTTTGAACATTTACCTAATAGATTTATCATATAATATTTAGTGAAGACATTAATTCTGACGCTTTTAACTTGAAAGTTATATTCATTAGGAGGAGAACTAAGCTGGATCTTTTCCTTTTTTTTTTGACACAGAGTCTCACTCTGTTGCCTGGGCTAGAGTGCCGTGGCATCAGCTTAGCTCACAGCAACCTCAAACTCCTGGACTCAAGCAATCCTCCTGCCTCAGCCTCCCGAGTAGCTGGGACTACAGGCATGAGCCACCATGCCTGGCTAATTTTTTCTATATATTTTTAGTCGTCCAGCTAATTTCTTTCTATTTTTAGTAGAGACAGGTTCTCACTCTTGCTCAAGCCAATCTTGAACTCCTGAGCTCAAACGATCCTCCTGCCTCAGCCTCCCAGAGTGCTAGGATTACAGGCCTGAGCCACCACGCCCGGCCTGGATCTTTTCTTTACATGATGAAGTGTACTTGTTTTCTACCAGACAAATTATATGTGCACATAGTTCTTTGCTACTGTTCCCAGCCAAGGCAGTTAGACTTGTCCCCTACTGTAGGTTAATATAAAGAGTTGGATCATTAAAATTTGCTCTGTTGTTAATCCCAGGTTTGCTTTTGTGGCTTGGTGTGGTTGAAGTCACTTAACGTTTCTGGTCTCTGTGTTTTCATGTTTAAAAGAGGCTTTCTCAAAAGGCTTTCATGACAGTTAACAGGCCTGGCTCATTGGTTCCAAAAACCTTGCTTTCTTTCCCTTTCTCCAGGAAAAAAGAAAAGTAGCAAAGTTAACCTTGCATATTTTTCCCACTTCCTTATTGAATCCCATGTCTACAAATCCTGAGGGTTTCTTTTTCCCTAGTGTGTGAGAGATTTTTTTATTATGCCTTCATGATATAAAATCCTCCTATTACATTAGTCTGTATTATTGAAGTTTGCCTTTCTTGAAAGGACTTCATGTTCAACAATTTACTGAAATACCGCTTGGCCCATTTCCAAGCAGAAAAGTCTTGTAGATTGATAGATCCTTCCCAGGAAAGAGGGAAAGTACAGGATGACTTGAGCTGGCTACAAAGAGATCTGAACACTCCTCTGAATGCTACAGGCTTGCAGGGGAGCCAGAGGCAAAGGGTTTGGGGCCATCTTTGGGAGTTCACCACTGACCACTGCTCTTCACTCCCCTCCTCCTCTAGCTAACTCAGTGGAAAATAAAAGTTGGGCTGCTGCAGCCCAGGCTCCCCTTCAGCCTTCAGAAAAGGGAGAGAACAGACACAGCACTTTGATTTAACCAAGTAGTTTGCAGAATCCCAGGGCCCATTTTGTCATCTTATAACATCTGTAAGTAGCAGGGATAAGTGATGATGCCTTGATTGGACAGAAGGAGAAAACTGGTTATTGGGATCCAGAAATATCTGACTTTTTAACTGATCACCCAGTGTTTTTTTTTTCCTTCTCTTTGTTACTAATGTTGGAAATTTCTGGTTTGACTGTACTTAATGTTGTAGTAAAGAACATGAACCTTGAGATGAGACACCCTGGAATTCAAAGCCAGCCTTTACCATATTTTAGCTTTGTAATCTTGGTCACATTCCTTAAACATTCTAAGTCTTAGTTTCCTCAAATATGAACTGGGAAAATAATATTATAGATACCTCATAGAGTTTTCAGGATTAAAATGCATCTTATTCCCAGCTACTCGGGAGGCTGAAGCAGAAGGATTGCTTGAGCCCAGGAGTTTGAGGTTGCTGTCAGCTAGGCTGAGGCCGTGGCACTCTAGCCTGGGCAACAGAGTGAGACTCTATAAATAAATAAATAAATAGATAGATAGATAGCATCTTATGTATATGAAATGCTTGGTACTTAATAAGTGCTCAATAAATTTTAGCTGCAATGATCATCATTCGTGATTATAACTTCCCATGTAGCATAACAGCAATTATGCATGTGCAATTTGTGATATTATCTTTCTGGTGAGATTTGGAGAACGTAATGCCTGAGTAAAAGCCGCATAGCTAGTAAGTGGTAAAGGTAGCATTTGAGTCCAAGTTTTTCTGACTATATACAGACGTTTCTTTTATGCTAGAAGTTTCAATAGTAAGTACATGCTTTAGGACTATTCCTCATCTGTCTACAGAAAAATGAGCGAAATAAGGATAGTGAGGTAAATTTTCATAAAGCTTAAATTGTTTAATTTTAAGAACTCATAAGATTGTCCTTTGTACTATTTAGTCTAAAAATATCATTTCATTTATGATATGTGAGAGTCAGTGGTTTTATAATGTTATTTGGTAAAATTAAAAAATTTGCAGGTCCCCAGTATCACCAGTAGAATTAATCCAGAAGTCTGATAACTCTAAGGGTAATTCCTTTGAGCTATCAGACTACTGTTTGCTCCTATAATTAATATGGGCATTGATGATATAAAATATCAAGAAAGATATTTTAATCTGTTTAATAATCTGAGAAGAATAGGATGATAATTTATATAAATTTTCATTAAAAATGTTTAAATCAAATGTTGCCTCTTTTTCTAAAAGATTATTAAATTTATCTGGAAATTAGACTTACATGGATTGCTATAATTTCTAATAATTCTGGATAAATAAGATGTTATTTTACTCCAAATTATAACAGCTATAGGTGACATTTATCCAATTAATTTCATTCTGTACACAGGAATACATAGAGTTTTCACGTTTTATTGTTATTTTCCTTAGATTTCGTGGCGTGCATCATGCATTTGCAAAAATCTTAGCTGAAGGAGGAATACGTGGGCTTTGGGCTGGCTGGGTGCCCAATATACAAAGAGCAGCACTGGTGAATATGGGAGGTAATGGAAACTTTATTGAATTCTGAGAAGTCGTAATTGCCTTAATAATTATAATTATAAGCACTTATGTCAGGGAAATGAAAATTTTTATTTTATTATTTTTAATAATGTATATTGGTGAAAGGCTGCGTAGATGTTTTAATATTATAATTGAATATTTTCTTTAGAGCATTTTCACTTTATTCTACTTTTATGTATGAAAAGGATTTCATAGAACAGGCAAATTGTGGCAATAAGGAGACAAGGCCAGACAATTTCTCAGGTCTCCTCTGCAGTCCAGACCTGCCTTTAAATTTAAAACTGATATGTGTAACTATCTGATAGTCATTATACCCTTACTCTTATTCTTAAATAATCCATCTTGTACAGCCTAGCACCATCCTGAATGTTCCCTTAACTCATACCTACTCCTCACTTTCCATATTCACTTACCAATTTCTTCTGTCTTCTAAATACTTCTTAAACATTTTCCCCGCTTCAATACCTACTACCTTAGTATCCTTAAAATGACTATTTCTACAATACCCACCACCAAAACCTCTCATCTACACCACTGCTACAGCCATCTAACTGGTTTCCTCCTACATCCTCAAACGTGTACCCTGTATCCAGAATTATTTATCTGAAACACAGATCTGAACATGTTATTGGTGTCCTTAAAGCCCTCCACTAGCTTCTCATCACACACGGAATAAAGTGAAAATTTTGGAACATGACATAGAATGTTTACAAAATCTGGCCTGTGCCTTCAGGGAACTGAGCAATTCATTGATTCTGTTCCAAAGTGCAAAGCAGAAAGTCATGAGCGGAAAGGTTCCACTGCCCACACATACCACACTGTTCTTCACTTTGTACTTTCTGTCCTCTTTCTTCTTCTATGTAGTTTTCTTAGTAGATCTTTAAATACTCAGCTGAAGTGTCTTCTTCACCAATGCACTTTTCCTGCACCTCACAATCACTATCTCCATGCCCTGTTGTGTTAGATGCCCTTTTATGTGTTTCTGTAGTCCCTTGTGTTTATTGCTACTATTGCTTGTATCTCATTTCATTGCCTACTACTATGTGTCTATATCTCCCACTAGATTATGAGCCCTTTGAAGGCAAGGACTATGTGTTATTCATCTTTTATTTTCCCAGTCCTTCCTATGTAGTAAATAAACGTTTGATGGATGAAGTAATCAATGAAAGAATCCTTTCTAAGACCAATTATATGATTCCAAGAAATTGACAAATGGCATTTTCAAGGGTTCTAGAAACATATCACTGAAATATCTAAGGAATTAAATCTGTTTTCTGTTTTGCTGTTTCAGTCCATCTAAGCCTACTGCATCATAGTGGTGGATATTTTGATCTTCAGGAAATCTTTCTGATTGTAGTTTCTCAATTTGTTGTTTCAAAATCTATTGCAGCCCGGATTTCTCTTCTAAGTTCTAGCTATTTACTCAGATTCTTCATTTGTTTATCTCAAGCATATCACTTTGAATGTGTCCAAACCAAACTCCTCTATCAAACCACTTCTTTATCCATTATTCGTAATCTCAAAATACATCACTTTCCTTTCAGTTGTACAAGCCAGAAACCTAGGCATGATTTTTGACTCTTTCCTTTAACTCGCTCCTTATATCCAATCAGTCACCAAGTCTAGTCAGTTCTATCTTTCAGATATATCTCAAATTCATACACTTCTCTCCATCCCTGGAGGTACTCCTTTGTCCAAGTATTATGCATCCCCTTCTGTTAGACCACTACAGAAGCCTCCTAACTTTGGTCTGTCCATATCTACCGCATGGTGGTTTTCATCTTTACCATCTCCGTAAATAACAGCTCTGTCCTTTAACATGTTGACTGCCACACGAGAAAAAAATTTTTTTCCTTGGGACCACAGTGTTTTATTACAAAAATAGAATAAAAACTTCAAAAACACAATATGATCCTTTCTAATTTAATGAAAAATTTGTTATTTTTTTGTTTTTTCTGTGCATGAGTTATATGCAACTTGAAAAATAATTCACATGGCTCCCAAGGTGAAGAGACATGTGAGTTACATGTGCTTCATGAGGCCCTGGGCTCAAAACTAGCGTGAGTTAAATACAACTCACATGGCAGTTAATGTGTTAAGCTATTGTGTTTGTGCGTTTGTGAACTGTTTTCTTTAATCCTTTTTCAGTGTTGATCATATAAGTTTGGTCAGAGAAGTAAGAAATATTATTTAGGTTTGGGAAAAGAGAAATTTTAACTTGCAAAATAGCATTGTGACTCTAAAATCTGAATGCATATCAGAAAACTTTCTAATGATTATCAAATCTTTTATTCTGCATACTGAAAATGTTTCTTATATCCTTATAACTTGGGAGTCACTTGGGAGACTCTCCAAAGATTCTGATTCAGTTGATTCAGTAGGTCAGGAATCTTTTAACCATGTCTCCCCAGAAGATCCTTATAGTGAAGGTTCTCAAGTCAGTGTTTGGAAACCACTCAGTTAGTGAACCAGATGCAAACATTTCTAGGTCAGTGAATTTCTGGCTCCACCTTCATAGATTCTGGCCTGTGTAGAGGAATTTGTATTTTTAATAGATACATTGGATGATTCTGATGTATGTAATCCATGGACCACATTTTAAATGTTGTTGGACCTAGAAGTCCTGGACCTTGCTCTCATTTTACACTGCTCTAAGTTCTAATTTTAACTTGGCTATCAAAGGCTTTTTTCCTCTGGGGCAAGTTACTCTGAGCCATAATTTTCTTATCTATAAAATGAGATCAGATCTTATTTCTGAGGAAAATACTAATGAATAGGCATGATTATTTCAGTAATTGTGTTAAGCTTAAGAAACAACAATGTAAGGATACTATTTAAATTCATTAAGGGTATGCTTCGTGTCAGGCAAAATTTATTCATGAAAATGTAAATTTACAAAGGACAATTTAGAGGAATTATTTGCATTATCCAAATATGCTTTGCTTTACAAAATGAATTGCAATAAAATCTCATTAAAATAGACTTCCCTAATGCTTTTAAAATATGGTATTTAAATTTTGCTTTATGTGCAATTTTTAGGTGTAAAATTATTAAACAAAATGCTAGTAATTGCTTACAGTGGTTTTTAATGAAAAGATAATAAGGACTGAGATGTACACAACCCTTTGAATTTTGGAATCGTGGCAGAATTTGTTGTTAAATAT